ATATATATATATATGACGTGGGTAAAATAAGGAACAACTGGAAGTTTACTTTTACTTTTGGATGAATACAGTACTCGGCGCAATCATAATAATTTACAGTGAGTAGAATTAATAGATCAGTTCGTACACAGATTAATAGATGTTAGCAAATAGCAGTGTTGATGTGAAATGATGTTCCGATTCGAAGCAAATAGTTGAAGGATGATCGTAGAGGCGATTCGAATCAGGAACACCTTCAAGGGACACATTGTATAATATAAACATAATACAGCGGGAAATAAGACCAACTGCCAGTGTGATCAATCAAAATTGAAGTTACAATAACGATTACAAGTTCGCATCGTCAACACAAATAAAACCTTCTCGGTGAGTAAGATGAGTTTAACTGCGCTTTTCGAGAACAACTATGAAAAAGCGTCGCGGTTTTTGTAATTTAAACTCGAATCAAAACAACGATCTAATGGCGGAGTTGGTTCAGACGTTTGTTCAGTTGAACAACTGTTTCAAATTTCGATTGTGAAGAATGCGCTTTTTGCTTTTGAAGTGCAATATAACAAGGCATCAACATCAGGACGAGGATGGAAGACACGAAAAGGATTCAATATAGCACGATTATCGAACTGAAGATAAACTAAAGAACAAGTGTGAGTCAATCGCACAGCACAATGATAAATATGTGATCAATCAACTGCATAACAGATGAACACTTTTGATAAATATACAACATTATGCAAGAACAAACAATCGAGCACCGTCAATCACATAACAATCAACAAACAAAATACATCTGTAAAATGGTACAAAACAATCACTTATAAACGTAAATACACGAATCAAGCGTACAAAATTTAAATTGATAACTGCGTTCAATGATTACTGTATGGATTCCACTCACAAATCGAAACGATAAAGAACAATAAACTGATGAGAACATCGTTGATCAAACTATTGCACAGCAGTTATATTTCGAAGCATCTTTTTAGGCAGTCACACATAAATAAATGTTCGTATGAAGAAAAACGATAACAATAAGAACAATTAGTGGAATAATATTACATTGTAACAGGAAAGCAACAAGCAATTATATTTAAAAAAAGGAATAACAACATACGAAAAAATGCAACAGAAGGAGTTTCTGTTCGAACTAGATCAACAAAACTAAATGCAGAGAGTAAACATGGTACCAGCAAAAGTAATGAACACTTCAAATATTGTACTGAAGTATTTTTTGAAAAGATACTATCAACAACAAATTGGAAAAAACATCGCAAATGTCAGAGAAAATGAGGTAGCAAAAGTGCGTTAAATATTGACATTTATGATATTAAAAACATACATTAAAAATGAGAAATTTTCACAGATGCGAATTTATCCGTAACCATAGACGAGTTGCTATCATCAAGAGCCACCTGATTCCACTGCTCACCAGTGCCTGATTTCAATGCAAATGACCAGTTCTCACCATTATTTGATACTGAATGTGGTAGTCTGCAATCAATGAGACTTATCATATGAATGCTCCTTAGGTTTAGACGATAATATGAATACATACATTCCATCGCTATGAATCTGAATTATTAGCAATGGTAATCCAAAGATGGATAGTGCCATTTCAGATTAAAGGACAAGATGGAGTTCTTATTTCTGCAAAGCAATATGTGCTCCCAATGCAATACCTCAACTCGACCGGGACATTGAACTGTAGATCCTGTGGGCCACACATCACTAACGGACTCATCAGACTTTCACCGAGACTTTCATCCAAAGGAGGTCTCGTTTCATCGCAATTTGCTCGACACACTTTGACGTATATTTCTTGTTGAACCTGTACACATAGAATCACTATTACATTGTCGCGAAACGCGAGGAATCTTCGTCAGTCGAAACTGCATAAAATGCAGCTAAAATGCATGAGCATTCATTCGTTCATTCACTTCCTTCTTTATTTCTTCGATCCAAGGCGCTAAATAAGCGTCCAATCGTTCCAGTGCGTTAAGCAGCGCAAATCGTTCAAGTGCGTTAAACAGCCCAGAAAATCCCACTGCTCTAGGTAGCTAAGCACCGTAAAAGAATCCAAAACACTAAGCAGCAGAAGCAGTTTCAGATCGCCCCACCCGTGACGACTCGTATTTAGCTCGTTAACTCGCCCTAGACCAACCATCACTCGTGATTGTACACTTGTTGTTGTGTATTGTGTGCCATCGACCTAATCCCTACCCTTTCTTTTAGTATAGCCAAATTCCGAATTTTTTATATACACCGCAGAAAATTTTATGTACTCTTTTCGATATTATTCAGCTACGACATGAAATAATTAACTTCAGAAAACTTTTCAAACTGGAAATGAGAAATTTTCTTCATTCACTTGAAGGAAACGATCCAAATGAAAAGATGAGAATTAGAAAGCGCTACAAAATAAATTTTTAGAAGTAAACAAAATGGATACGATTACTGATAAAGAGAGATGCGATCGAGACATCAATTTAAAAAAATTCACTTACACCTTCATTAATAGCCCCTTCCGGGATGATCAGCATAACACCAGACTCAGGACAACTGAGTGTACATCCACTTGAATCGACCACCTGTGAGACATGTTCTATCACAGTCGTTTCCTTCACATCTTCATAGCTTGCATTCTTTTCGCTGACTATTTTGCTATCAATTGTTGTTTCAGGTGAAGGATCCAATTTCGAGTTTGTCACTTCTCCATTAATGTTCGATACATCTACACTACTCACGTGATCCGAATTTCCATTCTTCATTCCATCGTATTCAACTTGGCCTTTCGGCGATTCATCGACGAATTGCAACGGATTAGCACTGAAATAAGCGATTACTTATAGTAATCTCTAGAATACATATTGCAAGTGAATTCTTAAAAACAGAATCACAAGAAGAAATATCCAACGGAAAACTGTACTTGAACTAAACACAATAGCAATACGTAAAAATAAATGCTATATTGTAGTTGATTGTTCTATTAAGAAGAAAATTTATTCACTCACTCAGTGATGGTGTCCCTCTGAAGTGGCGATGAAGTGACTGGTGATGACCGTAAAATATTTGTTGTTGGCTGATTATGAATTGGAGAAGAGCCCAAAGTACGTCGTTCGTTACAGCCTCCAGCGATCCGTCGACCTCTGCAATAACAAATTAAATTTGACGATAATAAACGAAATTTTGAATGAAAGCAGCAAGGACTACCTTGTGAGATGATCGTAAAAGAGACCACAGCGCACATCATTAGCAGTTTGTGGTATTGGCTTTTGGTTGAATGTTTGCACCTGAGCTGCGTAATGAGCAAATGGTGAATTTTGTCTATTGCGATAGTGCTGACCTGATGTCATTTCACTTCCCCCATAATAATCGGATGATTGTCCCAAAGGTTCCTGAATTTATCAATTTTTAAAAAATTCCCGTCAAAGAAAACACATGATTTTAGATTGAACATAAGAAACCTGAATATCTTTGACCACAATGATGAAGATGTTAACAGTTTATTGTATCCGTACATATCCTTAACCAGAAATTCCAGAAAAATGCCAAAATATAATTCCAAAGTATTCGTATGAACAATTAAACTCCAAATGGAATACAACTACATATAAGATTTCACATCATATACTCTTATCCTATGGAAATTATGAAGTCACAATGAATAATGCACTAGCTTGAAAGTGATACGATCATTGATTTCAACTGCATTCGAAAGTCATACTTTGTGCATAAAACTGTATAATTCCTCTTAACGACGGTTAACAACATTCTGATGCACATTTGTAGAAGTAAGAGGTGAATATATCAAAAATAAAAAATAAACTATAAATGGAAGTGGATGTAGTCTGAGAAAAGTAACCTGCTTCATGTCGTAAAAAACACGAGAACTACTGTCTGCCTGATGTGGAACTGCATCTGCAAAATGAGCATTTGTTGCAAACGCAGATGTTAAAGGTGTTGGTGATGAATACGGACGATTGGATGATGGCTCTGAGGAAGCACATAGAGATGACGATGGAGCTGGTGAGCGGACTGGTGATAGACTATTAGTGGTCAAAGGACGAGTTTGATTAGATAAACTATCATTATTACTATTGGCTGATGAAGGGGATGGACAATGATGATACTGTGGTAGTTGGTGTTGTGGTTGATAGTAATGAGTTGATCGTTTTTGAAGAGTCGGCGAATAATTGCAAAGGGCTTTACTCGGGAAAGGTGAAGAGTTGGTTAGTTGATGGAGAGTTTGGTTAGTTGCAGTGGCAGCCGTATGTTGTTGTTGATCAAGATTGTAATGACGAGGCAACGTCGCCCAAGGCACTGTGGCCTCACAACAACGAGCAAGCAAATAGCGTCGAGCGGGTGAATGAGCAGATGCACCAATGTTCTGTTTAGGTTTATTAATATCACCATGCTGCACATCAACGATTGGCTCACTTCTCGGTAATTGATGTGATTGAGGAATATTCTGGTAATAAGCCGTATTCGAATAGTTGTTGACACCCATTAAAGCACATGGTTGTGATCGTGCAGGATGCAACGCTCGTGGCATATGCTGTCCACCATAATCGCTTGATAACGACGTCTCATAAATGGATCTGCAAATGAAACAAAAACACACTAGCAAATCATGCACATATTACACATTAGGGATGATAATTCTTTTTCGTATTTCGCAATTTCCAAGGTTCCACTCCCCAAAAAGATATCTTTCATTCTAGGACCAATCTGCGTGGAACCAACTTCAAATGAATTACTTCGGGAGATAACTGGGTTAATTTTTTTTTCGCCTAAGGCGTCCAAGTGCAGAGTTAAGAACGCCTAATCTCCAAACGTAATTTTTAGTTTCAAATGAAATATTATCAGGTAAAGGGGCGCCATTTTAATGAATGAAACTAGGAAAATTCCAAAATTCATGAACTACGGCACCTTAGGTGAAGATATAATTTGAATCAGGGACTTTTGAACAGATTTCATTGCAGCAAAACTTCAACTACGGTGTTTTCAGCAAAGAGACACCTTTTCAACGGGTGGAATTTACGATTATTAAAATCTGTTTTTTTTTCACGTAAACAATAATCATCCTGTTAATCATTCAAAAGTCAGACATAATTTTTTAGAAAACAACTAATATTTTGAACGAAATTTCAACTCTATCTTTCCGACAATAATTACGGCTTCTAATTTCAACATATTCACAACGCAATGCAAACAATCAGCAAAAACTTGTCGAAAATCTCATCAACATGGTCTTCATTTCTCTTTATAAGCGATGATCTGAACTTTTTTTTGCAATTACATGAGCAAACAACGTGAAACCAACTGACAAGATGAGTATTTGTTTCATCTTGGTAATATACCTGAATGCCAATGGATCGCTATTGTTTTGCAAGTGTACTTTGGTTGAATAATCTGTTGATGAATAATCCTGAAAGCAAGCTAATTGGTGGCAAAAATTCATACATATAAGATAATTTTGCCCAATTCTATAAAGTTGAAACCCTCTTCATGAACGCATTGAACAGTTGGGCAGCGATATTTCTCAGAAACATTTGGTGATTCATACGAAGATATTCTAATATCAACGTTAATGATGTCTGTCAATTGATCAGACTGAAATTGTATTTGTCAATCGAAAAATAAAGAAGCAATTTTCAGATGACAGATGTGCGATCTATATGAATGACCTTACCCCCTTCAGTGAATCAACATCCGAATCACTTTGAGTCTGGAACGACTGCATTGGTAGTAGAACCACATCGCTTGGATCTGAGGAAAAGCGAAATTCGGGCATCCATACACGTCTGTCTTGTAAGTGAGCTATCAGCTGCCGTAACGCATCGAACCATCCATCCTCTTTAGTGGCATCGAGAGTTGCTAAAATTTTGACGACTCAGACAGTCGCTAGGATTATTCAGAAGGGTTTCATATTAAGAAAAGACTGTAAATGAAGTAGACATTGTTCAATGCAAAGGTGAAAGTATACTGTCTCTACAACGACTATACATCCTTGTCAGTAATAAGAATTCGTATCAAGCAATAAGCTTGAGTGGTGAATAAACAGAATGGCCATTAAATAGAATTAACCAGTAAGTAAATGTGAACAATGTTTTTTGATTTTGTGCATCTGTTCAACGAGTTTTCGTGAAGACAGTGAAGGAGCTGCAGACTTGGCACGTAGTTCTCTGATACGAGTACGACTTTCGACATCAATTAAAATCACTATCGGTGCATACTGAGCCAATTGTAATCGCTCCACCGAACTTGGACTAACATCCAGAACACAGTGCTTAAATCAATCGTTTCACCAAAACGCTAAACCATCTGATCTTGAGTGTAACATGATGCGTTCACTGCACCCAAATCATTCAATAAATTTGTACTAAACTGCCGAATTTTTGTTAACATTATTATCACAATCACATACACTGATTAATTTATTTAGTATTTTAAGCATGACTTGGTCACAACGAAATATATAATATAACTGCATAAAACATTATATGTCTCTGATCATTTATCAACTTTTATCAATGATATATCATGAACTATACCGTAGATCGAACTCCTGACAGATATATTAAAAAATAATGAAATATACCACAAATACTTACCTTTTTTGTTGCAATAACTGCGTCAATACTACTCAGCCGTATGATGTTCTGATCACGCGTACTGGCGAATCGTAAGGCAAATTTTTCGAGTAACTTCTTTCGTGCAATATCAGCGAGAGGACCATACAATACAACTGGTCTGCATGAAAGAAAATCACACTCTCCGACAAACATCATTTGAATTTTTTACAACAACGAAATGATGAAAATCCTACAGTTTTGTTGTTATGCACAGTTACCATAAAATGTCAGCATGAAACAACTCTAATTGGCATTAGATGCAAAAAGCTCATAACAATATTACGAGCAAAAAATAAGAACCGTTGGAATCGAGGTTGAGTGAGAATAACTCTCTCGTAGGCCGGTAACGGCATATCGCAATTGGCGTCATTGAACGAAACCTCATCAACTGCACTTTTCGTTAAAGATTTCGTTCGTCGTTCCTTCAGTTTACGTCTGAAGAAGGTCGATCGACCAATAGTACTCGTATCAGCCGCACGAGACGCTCTCATCAACTTATCAGCACTAAAAAACTCAGCAATATGTAATGTCATAACATATAAAAGCTTCTTGAATCTAAAACTGAATAGATGCTCAATGACCGAATGAATCCGCCTGAGACAAATTACCAGAAAATATTGCTGCTAAATGCTTTGGCTTTTTTGCATGTAACACTTCTTCCCACCAGAAATTTTCACATCCCTTCTTCGAAGAAAGAAACCTTCTGCACTACCTATTACTTTTTATATGTGTTTACAAGATTAGGAGTACGAAATTTGCAATTTTTGTGAATCGTTCGATTTATTTGAAAAGAAGAAAAAATAGCGCAATAACGCGACGTGTGCGGTCTATCGAACAGGAATGCGAAAATGGTGTTATTGTTAGTGCAATCGCATCAGTAAGGCAGGTACCACTGAAATATTACGCATACAACCAAATAATGACAAATGAACACTAACGTTTCAGCGTTAGGAATTACACCTTTTATTGGCTCTCGAAGGACACTATTGACGCTTTCAGCAGCACTATAAACTCGAGTTGCTTGCCATAGTCCAACCGTACCCCCAAATAAAGTATCCGTTATGTGGAATATATCACCTGTATGGAATGTCAACTCCAACTGATTCGATACCTTTTGATTGGCAAAATGCGTTCTGAAATTAACATTAGCTTTGCCGAAAATACAAAATAAATGCTTGTAGTAATAAATGATGGTTCTTTGGAGAACCTTACATCGGAAGTCATTCATTTCAAATTCTGATTGATTATGACACATACGTTCTTAGCGAACAAATAACAGCAATAAAAAACTTTTGAACTTAATACACAAATACATGTTTCAAACCTAATCAAGCGTAGCACCAAGAACTGTCCACATAACGATCAAGTGTTGTGGCTTTTTATCATCATCGATGAAAATGGTTGAAAAATCTTACAAAATAAGGCATATGGAAGGGCATAATGACAATGAGACGATAATGTTTCTACCAACCTGATGTAGAAGTCGTCACCCAATTGTCCATTTCGTATTTTTTCAAATTCCATCGGTGCATATTCAATTTTAATTGTTACGTTATCGCTTAACGACAGCAGATGACGAACGGCCTGAAATAAAGCAAGCAATTTTTAATAGAATAATGAAACAACTTCGAACTGAACTTCAATAATTCCAGTACTGCATTTTTTAGAACGTCGTTCACAAGCAAAACAATCGATTACACTGGTCAACAGCCGGAATTTTTCCGAGACCTGAGCAGTAATTATTTATTACTAACAATGAATATCGTAGTTAGAATTGTTTGTTAGCTCTAGTTTCCAGAATAGATGTAGATGTCAGAACAGGTTTGTGGCAAAAGCAAGCTGTCAACTTGTGAGCTGTGCACCACATATAAAAGTACCTATACACAGCATATGCTGCAAATTACGACTTTGTGATGTCTTAAATGTTGATATGATTGCGAGGTGCACACACTGTTTTCTATGTACAAGTCGTGCAAGAATTCCCACCATATCAGCAAAGACTGGCTGTCGTTAAAGATTCGAATAAAAAATGTTCATCGCTGAATTAAACAAAATTTTGCAATCACCTCTACACGTGAGACTGCAGCTAAAGGAGAACTTTGCAAAACCTTTGGACAATTTCCGTTAAGTATTCAAGTACTTAAAAATACAATTCATCTCTCTGAGCAATGGTAAATTCGAATACGAAGGCCTTATCGATCATCAAATTTGAGAGCTTCTTGAAGATGACGACTTCAAATCATGAGAAAGAGAAGGATGCTTAGGAAGCATTCAAGTTAGTGATAGTAGGATTTCTCGGAAATTGAGGGCAAGACAACAATGAAAAATCGGTGAAAAACCTCATCAAGGCTTACGAGAACTTGGGATGTAACTACATCATATCACTTAATATTCACCAGCTGAACTGACATTAAGACTTTTTTTAGTAAATTGTTGTGCAGTCAATGAGAAACACGTTGAAAGGTTCCAGCACAACCATGCTTGCAGACTACTGCCGGTCATTTTAATAAATGTTTTTTCAGCCCAATATAAGCCATAAGCAAAAATAAAGAGGAGTCAAAATTTGCAACAAATATTACATGTTTTGTTATCTTTACAATTATAGCCACTTGAATGGAATATTTAATTTCACGACATTGAATTGCACAAGAATTAACTGAAGCACAAAACTTTCCAAAATTTATTTCATACAAACAGACTCATTACCAGAGTACTTTACCATAATATAAAACAAAAATGCGGATTGAAAAAGCGAATAACCTCTTCACGAGTTACGCCAGCCATTGATTTATCGTTAACGGCCACGATTCGCTCACCAGGTTTGACTGAGTTTTGTGCTGCTGGTGAATCTTCTTGTACAGCGGAAACAAAAATACCAACTCGATTTCCACCGATTACACGTACACCCAAACTTCCTTGAAATGCAAATTTATTAATGTTTATGGAATATTCATTTTGAAGAACACTGGTTACTGCTAATATCATTATGCATAAGCTTGACTACTCGATGAAAACTTCAAAAATGGAAAAGCAGACAGACCTCCAACTTTACGGAAGCTAACAATACGAACATTGCTATCCGAATATCCTTGACTGCTACTTGCACTGCCATTCCTCCTATAGTAATCACTATATTCCACGGATTGTGGCTCAGACTGAGGCCATCTAAACGAATTTTGAATTATTGATGTGATACTGAGTAAGAAAGAGAATGAACTATGAACATGGAATAAGAAATTATCTTATTCCACCAATTTATTCAAATATAAAATACGGCAATTAATCTTCTTTCATCTCTAACTTATTCTAGAGAGAAACGAACAACAACTGAAGAATGTTAAAATAAAACCTCGTGTTCGGTATACCATTGTTAACGTAATCGGCTGAAGATCGCTGAACAAGTGGTTGATGACTGCTGAGCATAGGCGATGGGCTATGGCGTGGTGTTGCCGATAGTGATCCTAATCGTTCATAAACTGTCGTTTGACTTGGCCATCTGAAATGAACTCATTTATTTATTTACTGAACACTCCACTAACAATTCTCACAAGAGAGCACCTAATTCAAGACTTGTAATTATCGTCGATGTCGTTGATTTCACCGATGTCGAGACTGAACATCACAATTTAAAGGTACCTCAAGACTTTTATCAGTTCATGTCAATATCTCACGACTGATCGAGCAGTTTTGTGAAGTAAATATATTTTGAATCAATTCGATCCATACGTACATTCATCTCAATTCACCATACAACAGCTGCTCAGCGCTTTTTCAAAAATTTCAGCCCCAATCATGTTGCATGAAAAGAAAACATTTTTGGAATTCGTATTGTACAAGCGATCACTAATTGTTCTTTCAAATACACACTCTCTTAGTTCCTCAAACCATTCCTAGCTTCATCGTTGAGACAAAACTGATAATGTTTTAGAATTTATTTGCGCCACTTTCTCATCATTTGTGGAAGTATTACGTTTGCATAGCACATACAATTTGATTGATGAAAATATAGAAATAAATCAATAGCAATTGAATGCATAAGGCGGTAAATATAAAATATAACCAGACAGATAGATATCTGAATCAATAAAATGCAAATCGACAAGATGTATGCAAATTAGGCTGTCACGTTTCACATTTGAATGAACTGAATCAACAATGCGCTTTGTTATGAATGTTATCACCCTTTATGTCATGCAGTACATTTATCGAAAAATATTTTTTCATCTATAAAATTTTCTATAAAATACTTTTCATTTATAGAACTTTATAGTTCACTGACATCGCCAAATTAAAATGATAGAGTTGTACCTACCCCTCAACGATATTTGTCAAATGAACATGCTCAATCGAATTGCTGACTTTGTGATTAAACAATCGAATTAATAAGCGCAAATGAAATAGTGATGATATGATATAGAAGAGCAATAAATTTGTCAGTAAATATTATTGTTGAATAGTAATTACTCCTACCTACTGCCACTGCCACGACGCACATCCCTTTGTACAACCAACGACAGTTTTTCACGACTCCTTACCAGCCATTTAGTAGCTTCTTCAATCGTTACGCCGTCAACACTCTGCCCATTGATTCGAAGAACTGTGTCGCCTTCTCTCAATCCTGGATCCTTTTCAGCTAGTTTCCGGTTCGTGATCTCTTTGATATAGTACTTACATCCAAGCACAATACCAAAATCTAAAGCAATAATCCGTTACACTACAATTTGAGTGCATTAAATTGTCTGTCAGCAATGCATTAGGCTGTCGGAATATTTCATAAATGAAATTTACAATAAATTTCCTTATTATCGAGCATTAAAAGAAGCATATTTCACTGAATAAACCAGGACTGCTCGTTTTTTGGTCTGTCAGGACCTGAATACGAACAACTAATAGTTGAATGAACGTTAGGGTCAACTGAGGCCCTCTTATTCGAGAAAATTTTGAGATGAACATATTAAATTTTCATCAATGAACGTTTTGCGACAGTTTTTCTGATATCGAACGACATCACTTCAATTCAGCAAAAGAGGACGAGTTCTAGTGCAAACTGCTTTCTTTAACGGATGAAAGCAATCGAAATTATGAAGGTGAAATTTGATAAAATGACATGAAACAATTCAGTACCTTCTTTCTTACGTGATTTCGATAAGGTAAACTTCAGGGTTCGTTGTTCGAATTCGATGAGTGGGATAGGAGCACGTCGTTTCACAATCTGTGATCTCATTTCATTAAAATTCAATCATTTTGAGCTGTTCAAATATTTCATTAATAAACATTTGAAATGACTGCAAAAAGATGGTTACACAATAATTTTCGAAGAGTTTCTTCGAAAGACAAAACGCAATCGACCAAAATCTCAGAAAAATGCACAATCGAGCGAACGATCAATCTACTAATGACAAAGAAATACGATGAAATTTTGAAAGCATGATGAATATCTAATTAAGTTCCAATAAGGAACGACTTCTCGGATAAAAAACGAATCAAGGTCACAAATAATTTCGAATGAAAACAGTGTTTTTTACCATATTAAGTTGTTGAGACTCTTTCATGATTTTAACAGCGGCTGCGTATTCGGCGTTCTCTAACGATACACCATTAGCAGACAGTATTCGATCATTTACTCTGAACATCATCACCATTTTAATCGATTCGTTAATGCGACACTTTCAAACAAGCCGCTAGTCAAGCAACGATTTTCGAGGTAGAAAAACACTGGCAATGACTACCGAAAATGTCACCAAACTGTTTCGTTCGAATTAGGCTGTTCAGTTAAAACTGATTTAGATGATGCTAAATTTGAATCATAAATTCGATAGCAGCGGTTCTCACGTTCGGGTACTCAGTTACCCCCTTTGATGATCTGGCAGGTCGTCGTTACCCTCCCCCCTGATACAAGATTTACTATTTCTGCATGTGATGTAGGTGGATTCTCATTCTTTTCAGACGTGTTGTATTCATTCTCATAGCTATTACCTACGAATATCGTTCTCTTGATGAGTTTTTCTCATTCACTTCGTCCCATTTCATTTTACAGTTCCAATCGATTTCTTATTCTGTAGCATATACTATTTACTGGATACGTTGACGAGTGTTGACAGCCTAAGCCAACAATACAACAATCGAATTGAATTGCTCAACAACGTTCGACAATCAACTGATCAATTAAAGAGTAGTGTATTTGATAGAATGAGAATTTCACTTTAACTATTAAGTGAAATGAATGAGAAATTAGCAGAGGAGAACACTTCTGATGATAGAAGCTATGACAGCGACTGCAACAGCAAGAAAAAGAATGAAAACCCTGTTAGGCCCTTACGAGCTAATCATATTCAGAAATTAGGAGAATATTGCCATCAACTAACCGCATTTACATTTTCGAAGTTAAAAAAATCACAATGGCTTTCTATCATACTAATTTTTCAACACGAAATACTAATTTCCTGACCCCTACCATTACCCCTTCACACCTCCAAATTACCCAAAATGGGTAATTTCACGCCCTATGAGAACCACTGCGATAGAAGATATCAAAATTGCTAAATTTATGTGACAAAAATTATAGTGATTGGTGCACAGAACTAGCTATCAATGAGGCTATGAAGTAGTCTACTCGTTTAAAATGAAATATTTCCACTCATTCACAACTGAATCACTCCAAATCAATCAACGGAGTATATCCTCGGTGAATTAGTTTTAATATCGAATTTCAGTTAGGGATCAATAATATCAAGTTTACACATTATATAGCTACGCAAATGAATATAATCGTTGTGCTGACTTGCTGGAAAAGTTTATAAGACAAATGCAAAAGAAAGGCGAGCATTGATTTGCTCTCGTATTGCCAGATGGATGCAATAACTTACTGAACAAGACCCCAAGCAGGTCCCGAGGGAACAACGTCACTCACAACCACCGCTGGATCACCGGATGTGAAATGCGGATTATCGCGCCCTCCAGAAACTGCTATACCAAAACCAACTGCCGGAACCTTCAAGACGTTTCATGATCATTGAATCAATTATGCAAATTGATAGTTGGACGATTGCTTGGCAGGAGGTCGAAACACTTGAATTATATTATTACTCAACACTAACGTTTACAACGAAACACATTGAAGTGAAAACAGAACATCTCTTGTACATTTAAATGATGAAGCTGAACAGTTCAATCCGTGACCATTCAATTTTACTAGGTCTTTAATTAGAAATGCGGAGAATTATCAACGACATTTTAACGTTAAATTGCATGTTTTTGAAATGACTATGGAAGACAGATTCGTGAGAAGTGATAAATAGTTATTCGGAGTCGGATCAAACGAATACCTGACATTAAAAACTTGATGGAAGTAAGTGCATCGAGATGTATTCTACAGTGAATATCATCAACAATGAAACTCCTCTAGAGAGACAAATGCAGTTTTGCGAACACAACGAACAGCTGCCTATCTACATGGCTCGTATTAAGGTCTAATATCGAGATTAGAATATTATTGCACTAGACAAATGACTGCAGCGATATTACACCAAAATCGTTCATTAACTAGTTCAGATGATACTGGCCATAAGGTTCATCTTTCATATATTAGAACAAAGTAAAGTTATTGATGGTAAGACTCGTAACCTGGTTCCGGTAAAATGAGTTGTTATCGTTAGACTTTACAATGCAACCGACAGAACTTGTTGACAGAAATGTTGAGCGAAAATGCATTATACGCACTAATAATGTACGCTTAACACTCACGAGTGAATTAAAATTTAGCACATTGATTGAATAAAACTCTCATGTATCAATCAACATTTCTTCCTCGGGAATTCATTTGCGCTCGTCTCGAAAGCTGAATAAATCTCCGACTCTGATCTACTACTGATGATCAGGGTGAATGCCCAAACGGTGCAAAAATGCGGTAAAGCAATAATAATAATAGCTTTTAACTGGTATACAGACGAACGTATTTCACATTTCTGATGCAACAGTATGTTGCGAGCGATCGTTAATATAAAGGTGACGATTCCATCGAAAAATTCAAAAAGTTTAAATATGACTTGAAAATGATAACCTGAAATGATCAGCAATAAGAAAGAACATTACTGATGTTCGTTAAACGGAAACGTTGAGTAGATGTAGACGTCAATGAGTGTGATAAATCATTAATAAGTGAATAGCAGATAAGAAATAAAAGAGTTTACTTCCTTGCATATTTCAGTAGACGACATACGCAAACAAGCAAAGGAACTCCTCCTAGTACGTACTGTAAAAGGTCTGGCTCAGAAGAACGAAATGTAATCATTATAACTGGAATGGTATTGAGGAGACTCTGAAGTTGTCTTTCATTGAGATATCTATCGAAATGAGCATGCAACCAGCGTACGGATTAATGAAACAATGCATAACATTTCTCAAAGGATGAATCAGACGAACGAATAAAGAAACTGTACAGATAGACGAACAAAACAAATCATTCAGCAGATGCAGCTGATGGCTCAGTACTCGTGGGTGAAAAACGAACGATTCAATGAAATTGCTAACGAACAGTAGAAATATTTATGTGAAAGCAACCACTGTATGTAGCATGTGAGAACTTGATCACAAATTAATCTTCGACAGGTTTGATCGTACGGTAAATTATTCCGTTGTTTAAAGACAAATATTGAATTCAATCGAACCGAATAATCAATCACTCAATCAATGCATTTCGAGAATATTAAAAGCACAGGTGAATGTTTACTCAATAGTAGTACTAGCAGAACGATAACGTGTCTCAAGTGCCATCACGAAACAACTAGTCACAAGAGATTATCTGCTGACTTATTGAATACTGCCTCGACGATTGACTGGCATATTAAAATTACTTCGAAATTATGCTCATTTTTATATGAACGAGAACACTGTTAGAACGCCTTGAATTTATCAAAAATCATAAACATGCAATTCTATTTTCCAATAAAAAATAAGGGGCAAATCAGACTGATTAAATTTGGACAGTTACAATTTCACAATTATGAAATGGCTGCGAAGGTTGATGAAAAATTCGATCGAAATCCTGAGGTAATACTTGTCGACAAAACTGTATATCGTGACCGACAATCCAAAAGTTATAAGGCGAACAACATCCTCAATTAGAATGCAATGAAATTCGATATTCCCTTCCAATACGGTATGCGAAGATCACTTCCTGCCCAAACGGTAAACTTCTAATATAATATGACACAAAAAACATTGGATATGATAACGAAAAAAATCCAATTAGAAGAAATTTTTCGTCAGCAATCACAGACAATTCAAATTCAGTTTTATTTGAACCTATTTATTTAATTGGCAATTTCATTTGCACAAGTAAAAGAATATAAAGGACAATATAAATATGAACTGACTCTTTTTCTATCAACACGCTATTCGAATGAATGAATGTCAGCTTGCAAAAACTGCAACATCAGAAAGCCACCAAGATGACGGTCATAAACTATTCAGAAGGAATAGATTTTCAAGCTAACAACATCACAGACAATATAAAAATCGATCTTATTTCAGAGATAGACGGTAGATAAAAAATTGAACTATGTAAGATCGGAATGATAACGGCTATTGATGAGAAGCTATTGGATGTTTGAATCTCCTCCTCTAACAACACAGATTCCAACAACATTGGTTCAATTAAAATTGAACTGACAGCAAGTGTATGTTATCACAGCTGCAATGACATATATGTACTTGTGTGTACTGTGTGGGCTATCAAACGATCTCAGTTCATGTTTGTGTGAATCGAGAAATCTTGTTCGATTATTTATCTAAGTGATGAATGTAATTTATTACCCTCTTCTCGAGCATATGCATTCAACGAATCAATTAAGTCCTTCATACCGCAAATCCGATCAAATAGAATTTATTTGTAATGAAACTTATTTAACGTCATTTATTGGAATAGTTTTTCTTCAGCTTCACCCATGAAGAAATGAGCTAACGAATATTCGTTGATGACTGTTAGCAGCAAAGATGAAATAGACGGAGAATGCTCAGTTTGTTGCTCGGTAATTTTTCGCAGAAGAAGGGACATTTCCCGATACTAAAGTGAAATAAAGTTCGCATATAAGCAGCTCTTCCTATAGCACCCCATTGGTTACGGATGGAGAACAATGAAATGCAATGAATATAAACGGCAACAAGCAGCAATGCTTCTAAAACTGCGTAACAACAAGTATACACCCGCCTATCTCAAATGATTATAAAAAAGCCATTCGAAAACAATGAGAAAGCCGTTTCAACTCAACGAACTGTTTCACCACAAAACTAAAAAACAATCAGAATTTCATTACTATGCAATAATCATCTCCTGATAGCACTACTTCTGTGCAAAAATAAACAAAGCGAAAATGAAATCAGCCAAAGTGCATTATTACGAAGAACTAAAATTAACACATTAAAACATTCATTTGATTGTCTTCATTGCAAAACAAATCGACACGTCTTCTAAATGAACATATAGCACACTAGAACAAAATGACCTACCCGGTGCAGTGTGACGGAGAGAAGTTGCCAACTGACGGCACCACCATTACTCTGAAACACAAAAAGGAACGATGAAACAGATTGACATAGGCAGCGATGTGATATGATGCGTCTGATCTGATATGCAATACACCAACCTACCTCAATATATTACCAAATGTACTCAACTCAATTTATTACTCTACATTCACACTTTATATCAAATCAAATATTCAATATTGTTCGTGAATTATCAAAAATTTGACTGAATATTACTCTACAAATGCACTCAGATATCAATCATCACATTAAATTGAAACGATAACGTTAGCACAATAACCAGTTCACCTAATATGTGACGGTAATGATATTTATTTATAAAATATGCATACAATTTTTTTCAGAAACCCTGCGAATCAACTTTGATTACTTGAAGAGCAAATATGAACACAGAAGTACAGAAACTTTTGAAAAATCGGAAATGCTACAGTTTCGTTTGTGGAAAACAATCCCAAAATCACTAAATTACTCTACAGTTATGTTTTTTCCTTGAATTATTAATGGATATCATAAAATTAGAACTTTTAATGCAGCCAATATGCAAAAATATTATCGAATCTCCAAAAACAATAATTTCACTTCCGAGTCACTCTTATTTGAAAAAATTACGACTAAAGAACCGATAACGAACAACACCATTTATTTCTACTCTGGGATGCAACTGACAACTTCCAACGGCAACTCCGAACAACCGATCTAATCGACTCAAAATGCAATATGTTTGTTTTCTTCTTTCTGATAAGTCTGATGTCAATACGGTTCGAATTCAAATATTCTCCATCAATTTCAGAAGATATCCAATCAAAGGAATCAACTTAATCACGATAACCGACGAAACAAGCATGCAGCATAACTTGAATGGCAAGCCCTAACAATGCAACCTCAACAATATTCAAACAAATGGTCAACTTTCTAAGCAATGCAATTTTTCCACAATTACTCCAGATATAATCACAGCTACGCGTTGCTAACCCCAAATATAATCATGACCATGATATAAGCTCATCGAATTTTCCTTCCTAGCTTCAAATCAGCGCATACAATTCCAAAACAACGTCTATCTGATCGTAAATATTTGTTGAGGATTACACGCCAGTCTTGTTCATCTGATTATGACATTTAACTAAATGATTAATTCTGACTAAAAATGAGCAAAAGCAATTCCAAATTTGAGGAAAGGGGTTTAAAAAATTAAAGAGTGCATAAATACTGAAAAGAAGAAAAATAAGCTTGAGAGATAAGGTGGATATGAATCAAGTATATCATGCCTGTTCATCAGGAACGGGAGGAACGAGCATCTCTTCGTTACTATTAATCACATCAAGCGCTTCACTACATCGACTCCGTCTATCGTGCATACTGTTGCTGCATACTGGTAGTGGAAGTTCTTGGGAGGATAACCGGGGTGAACTAGCACTGACCAGCATTGAATTCGATTGGGTTGACGTGCCATCGCCGAACGAATGACATCGATCACCAAAGTTCTCAAACGCGTAACAACCCTCCCACATGCCTGCAAACAACAACAAACATTTTCATCATTCACACTTTCTAATGAATGCGTGCTCTTCCAGATAAATCCGAACGAATCTCCGTCATCACTTTCAAGAACTCGTCGAATAACTAACGTGCACAGGTTCAGTTTTCAAGAAACGTTTATTGGATACTGTGAAACAACTATTCAAAGTGATATCTGATTCTGGCCACTACACATTGGACGTGAGAATTAAACATTTTCACTGCGTCCATTCCATCTTTCGGGTCTCATGTGGGTTACAATATCCTAAATCATTCAAGCTCGCGGGTGCTGAAGTGTTACTCTTTGCTTGAAGTGTGTTGCATGAAAAGGGACTGATAAGGCTGGGGTTTGGAATATCACATATCGGTACATTCTGAGCGTTTTTCGATTCTTTGGATGACTCAAAGCCCTGCACCCTGACAAAAGATGTTGCGATCGACTCTTTATTCTATTGGAAACAACAAAATATCCCTCAGAGAATTCGGGCGTTTCCTGGTACCAATTTTTGAGCGAACATCAACGAAATTTAACATTTCTGCCAGTTGCATTTGCACTAAATACCACTACGGAAACGAGATATTTACATTTAGATAAAACCATCATGCAAACCGTATGAGATCATATTAGGATGATTGCACTTCAATCCCATGAATTTTTTCCATGATTGCTTTCAGAGCAGTTTTGATTTTGGCAAAGCTATTGATACTTTTCTCCATCACTAGTTTCCACCTTCTCAGGGATGATATCTCATCAAGTTTATGTACAATTGAATATGCAAAGGCCCTAATTAACAGCTTCGGATGTTGTGGACATCAAGGCGTTTAAATTCACTTTGAGAGCTGATCGATTATTTTCGGTTGACCGTTCCGGTTTTTCGAATATTCAATTACTGTTTGGTTTGTGCTTCATTCCATTCTCAGTTATGGAGATCACGAATCACCGAAAATTTGTCTTGTTGAGTATCTGTGCTGCACTAAGCCCGATGCGATTTAAAACAATCATGGTGGACGACTCATACTAATATTCCTCAGCTACAAATGGTTACACTGGTTAGGTGAATATAAGCTGCAAATGATATGCTCCAAAAAAACCAAGCTTTGCAAATAAAATTAAACTAGAAGCACTCGGAAAATTTAGTGGAAATTTGTCCGGACATATCTCGAAGACTGTCTCTTTATCAACAGTGACATATTATGCCAATGGGAAAGATGCTTGTTTCGATTATTTTCTAGCTGGAAAATGAAACATGAAACGTTTATGCTATCGTTGAACAAGAATTAATTGATGGATAAAAATGTAAGTTTCTGAATACGGTATATAAGCATATGAAAGCGTGATGTATAAAATGAAATCTTGTTCGAACACAATGATAATCAGTTCTTTTTGACTCTATTTTCAACACTCCTTCAAGCACAATTTGTCAGAAAGGCGAGCATAGCACAAAAATTGAGCAAGTCGATTGATTCACGATAAATATTAGTTATCAGAAAGATGACTATGATAAATTTATTCATGCAAGCATGCAAGTGAAAATCACATAAGTCAAATTTACGCTGCATTACTTTTAAGCACTGAAATCATGAGATACTTTTTAAACTTTGACAACAATGCAAAAAAGATAACGAATATGGAAAAGATCAAGGGACTTTGCTTAAACGATTATTTAAATAATTTAAACGGTGACCTGTGACAACTGAAATGAGCAGATATGTCACGTGAATCTATTGAAGACAGCTGGAATCTTTTTTCCGCTATAAAAATCTCGTTTTGATTCTGTCGGAATCCAGTATTGCATAATCCAGTCACTGAGCATTTATACTCGTTTTGATGTGGAAAAGTGAGAAGTTGTAAATAAAATAGAGTGTGTGCAAATAAGACAACAGTAATTGTTTGGATTTGCATAACCATAGCAAAAAAAACGTCCTCAGTTAGAATCTTTCACGATTTTAACGAAAACGCTCACAACTGCACCGAAAGACATTTCGGGACTTTTGTCATTAGTCCCTTGAACGATATTTAATACATGCTCTGCATAGTTCGCGAATATAACCCTTAATATAACAGTGAATGCAGTACAGAGACGATGGTAATTGTTTGACTTATACAGCCATGGCAAAAGACGAAAGCCTTATCACCAAAGCCTTGAAAGGATACCTGCAAAAAGATTCTATTTCTTCAGAAAGCTGATTGAGCAGCGCAAAAATATGCAATTATTGTTGATCCATTCCGGAAGTGAAATTGAACTCCGCTGATACCGATGAAGTAAATTCTAATTGAAGAGATAAGTTGTTGAAAAAAGTAATTTAAATAACTATGTCAACTTGAATTTTTTGAAATAAACGACTTAATTTAGCAATCATATGCGGAACAGAAACAATAATTTACATCTTGGGAGAGGATGGGAGACTGTAGATGAAAATTTATTATGTAAGTGTTGATGAATGAATAAAAGCAAAGAATTCAAGAAGTCGTATAAAAATGAGAAATGATCAAACGTGATGATGGGACTGTTTGTCAAGAAGAGCGACGATAAGACCGCTTCCAACAGAAATAAAGTAACGAGTGGAAGTGTGAACGTTTTTCTATTTTTCAAATACTTTGCAAGTTATGAACCAGAAATATTCTGCTACAACGCATAAATAAGTCATTGCTGATGCGACCAACAACTTGAGAGAAAGAATTCAGCGCAACGTCGCATAATGACAACAATTGTTGCACGAATCACTGCACGTGGCAGCCGGCTGCATCATTAAAACAATTTTGAAATTCAACATTCTCCAATCAGTTGTTCCAATACATCAATGAAATGAAAGTCTTTCCTACTTGAACTAACTATAATAAAAACTATCACCAATTACCACATCATCAATCACTGAACATAGTACTAGAAATTATCACAATTAGTGTTCGTTGGGGAACGGGGTCCCGTCGGGGAACCCGATGGGAAACGCGAGGAGCGTTCCCCCCACGCAATTTTTCCCGGCTTTTTTGCAAGGGACCCCCCCGTCAAGTTTTCTCCCCGCGAGAACCCCTCCCCGTCCGAAATACTGCTACCCGACGAACACTAATCACAATAATTCATACTAATTACGATTTGGATCTCACTGCAATTTCAGCGTTGTATCGCACAGAAGTGAATCTCATTTCGATAATACGAGGGCAAGCTTTCTGATTCGGTTCAAATTCTTTATCACTGTCACCCTAGCTGTATCCATTGCGTGTTTTATCCGCTTGTTAGCTGACAGGCTTTTTCTCAATAAAAGACCACAAATAAACAGAAAACGGCTGGGTGAAAGCTATTAAGATCCCACAAAAAGCGATAGATTTGTTTCAGACAAATAAAAAAAACTAATGTAAACATGGATTCGAACACGTTCAAAATTCACCAGTGTTACCCAAACAATAGTTCCTCGTTTGATGGATGCTCACTTTAATAATACGGCAATAATTCATGATGGGAAAATGTTTATTTTCTTTTCTGTTATCTTTGAACAACTTTGGGAGATGTACTACGCATTGATTCATGGAATTCGCTAAAGTGTATTAAACAAACTATTGTGGAAGGACTCATCCAAATTTATCATCTGTCAATTACGAAAAATGAGTAAAATCTAATTGTGAGAACAGAACAATACAAAATTGTTCCATTTGAGAACGGAACAAATCAAACGGTGTTATTTCTTCTGAAACAACTCCTTTACGACAAATAGGAACTCTACATCAGGCCTTAGATCAACCTTCATTGATATCCTCCCAATGCAACCATCTTTAATATAAGCGTTCTCTTAACCATACTTTCACTTCGGCTTTCTTCCTATTGGAGAATAACCACAACGAATAAATAATTTGAAACTAATCCGACATAGAATTTGTTTCATGTTCACAGGGCAACATTTCAAATATATATAGTAGTCATATCACACCGGTTTTAATTAATGGAACAACACACTTGAGTTGATATGCGACAATATGATAAGCTATCCTACGAATCCATTGAAATGTGACCGCTTAAACAGGAGCAGACAATAGTCTCAAGCAGAGAAGCCTTGAAGCCAATAAAATTTTGATTGCTTCAAGCAACTGAATGACTAGAAATAAATTTCAGTAAGCATCTTACTCATAGATTAAATCAATTCATACAGTGCAATAATATGGATGAAGCACATATTGCTAACAGTTAACAACAATAAGCGAACTGATTTAATGATGGACACTGTTGAAGTGTGCCTCATTCGAACGCAAACAATATTAACAGTTGGCTGGGCCACCACAAATTGGTTAACATTAGTTTAGGCTACGCATACGTCAGCTGATGTTTCAGACCAATAGTTAATTAAGTAGCCAACTTTGACAGTAACTGAATGCATTTGCATATAGCTCAATATTTTGAAAAGATATATGTGGCATAATCACAACGTGATCAAATAAAACTGGCTGATTCCTGATAGTATCAGTGATTTCGAGTTTTCGATCATAACTCTCCTAGCCCTCACTTATTACTGAATGTCGTTCAAATCACTTCTTAATTATCGTTTATGTAATATTACTATCTGAACAATGCTTACGTCAACAGACAACATCGAATTCAATTCTTCGTAAACAAAACTGACAAGAACTGAGAACATTACAATCAAATTTTCGCTGAAAATAAAACAAATAGCTGATAGAGAGGAAGAATGAAATGAGCAACTGAAGTTCAATCAACCAATTAATTCATTTCACGGAAAAGGTCGAATTGTTAATTATTTCATTAGGCAGCGTTAGGAAGGAAATCGTATCATTGCAAAGCGATTGAACATAATCAAGAGGAAATGCTTAATAAATATGAATAAATTGTCAACATTCATACAAGCACCCAACATACTCACCATTGTGCACGCCGAGTTGTTTTTGATGCGTATGTTCGGCGATTAAACACAGCTAAACAATTTGATGAAGTGCACAATTTTATTGCATTTCATCGAATTCACTTAGCATATAAAATCTGTTCCA